CTCTCCCACTCCCCCTGCTTGTGTTCCCTCTCTTGCTGTGTCTCTCTCTGTCAAATAAATAAATAAATAAAATCTTTAAAAAAAAAAAGAAAGAAAAAGCTTGTTTCTTTTTTCCAAATACTTGTTTTTAACTAAAATGTAGTTATAAAAAATTCAAGACCATTTCAGACAGTGCACATACATTATGTAGCTAATTTATTCTTCCTCCACCTTCCTCTTTTTATTTTTATTTATTTATAGGGAGAGAAAGATGACCTTACCTGCTTTATGCACCCCCCAGGCGACCCTAGTAGTAAATATGAAAATTACAAACAATCAAACGCATTGCCTAGTCATATAGCCTAGTCACAAAACGACTCAACAGATTTTATGCCAAAATTATCGACTAAAATTTTTAATGCAAGTTCTACCATAGAAATCATGCTAACATATGGTCGTTAGGTTCCCAAGGCAAGCCACAAATACCTCCTTAAGTATCAAGTGGTGGAAATAAAGTAAACCTGAAAGGCAAACAGAACAATCTTTTGTAAAAGGAATAATGAAGCAAAAGAAAAGTAGCAAAACTGAACAGCATTTTTTAAATGTATACTACATGCTGGTCCTTGAAGAAAAACGAGTTAATAAGGATCAGGAACTAAGTGAAAATATATGGAAATTTTAAGGCAATCCTATTAGACGTTTCCAGCACTTTAAAGAACTTTATTCCTTCATTTTAAGTTAAATTCAATTACCTTACGGTTTCTGAGATCTCTATATCATTATTCTTATCCATACTTACTAGCTATTAAGGGAGTATTTTAGCCAAAACAAGACAAGAAGCAAAAGAAAAACAACAGCAAGGGAGTGTGAACTCTGAAGCCATCAAGCTAGAGACATAGTAAAAGAAATTGAAAAGGTGAGGCTGGGACCAATGGCTGAATTCTGCATGTATAATGGAGACACCATCCTCCCAGAAGGGTCACTGCAGGAAAGAGATATAAGTCAAAGTTTCTAGCACCTGGTAAATGTTGCTAGGAGTTTAGAGTCTAGCAAGCAGAATTAAGCAGCACAGAATTGTGGCTAAGAGACAGGGCCTGCCTTGTTTGAATCCTGGCTTCACCACGTACTAGATGTGTTCACTTTGGAGAAGTTATTGAACCTCTCTCTTTGCCTCAAGTTTCTCATCTGTAAAATGAAAATACCTTTTTCTCACAGGGGACTAAATGTGTTAGCATGTGTAAAATGCTTACAAGAATACATGACAGCTAGTAAGTGCTCAACAAACATTAGCTATGTTTATATATGTCTATAATACAATGTGCTGAGGGAACAGATGAAAGTGCCAAAAATTCTGTCTTGGGGCAGTGCTCAAGAAAAACTACAGGGAGGGGAGCTTGAGTGGCTCAGTTGGTTAAGCGTGCAACTCTTGATTTTTGCTCAGATCATGATCTCACGGTGGTGGGATTGAGCCCTACCCTGGACTCTGCACTCAGCACAGAGTCTGCTTGTCCTTCTCCCTCTGCTCCCACCCCCACCTTGCAAGCTCTTTGTCTTTATCTCTAAAATAAATAAATAAAATCTTTTTTTAAAAAAAGAAAAACTACAGGGAGGTCATATCTGAACTAGATGTTGAGAGATTAAGACATCAGCAACTGGGCAAGGGGGAAAATGACAGTTCAAGCAGAGAAAGAAAACAAACTATGGCACCAGTGGGAATGGAGAAAAGGATGAGGTCTGACTTTTAACCAGAACAGTATAGGGCCTCCTATATCACAGAAACTAATATATATTAAACATCTACTTGTTATACTGAAAGCACATATTGCTTCTCATAGCAACTCTCTAAATATTGTTATCGCTATTTCAGTGAAAGTAACTGAGGCTCAAAGTGGTAAAAAATAAAATGGTCAAGATGAAGCAGCAATTGCAAAGTAGAGGCAGGATTCAAACCCTGGCTACTTAGAAGCCAATGTTCTTTCTACAGTACCATGTTATTCAAATAACTACATAAAATTTGGATTGCTTATATATTATATTCTACAGGTAGAAATCTCAAGGTCTAGAAAAAATAACCCAGAGCAATTTTAGGGGGAAAAGGCATTTTAAGATAAGACTTTATAAAGCCTCAGATAAAGTGTACCCTCTTGAATTAGTTTTTTGAAGCCATCTCTAGCTGAGGACCAAGAACGTATTATTTAAGGCACTATGGAAATTGAATTCAACATCTAGTTATGAGCTTATACTATGTGTCAGGTGCTGTGCTAGGACCAAGAGAAATGACACTGAGCCAAGATGACTACCTCACTTTCCTCCCACTGGCAGAGCATGTAAATAGGGGCTCTGGTGCTCCACAGATTGCCCAAGTTCAAATCCTGGATAACTTGCTTACTTTCACACTATATGACTTGGAGCCAAGTGACTCAAGTTCCTCAGTTTCATCACCCACAAAATGGGAACGATAATACCTATGTCCTGGAGTTTTGGAAAAGCGTTAGGAAAGTGCGTGGCACTCAACAAATTTTGTCTCATTACCATTAGCTGGGAAACGAATGTAAGGAAATAAATGGCACAGCTCAGGGAGAAAACACAAAATAACAAAAGAAAACAACTACAAAATTGAATCAGCAAATGCAAATATGCAATACAGAGTGTATATAAAAGTGGTCTAAATAAAGAATAAATAAAAGAAATGGGTATTTTGAATGATGTAAGGTATCATTAACAAAAAGGTGGAAATAAAGCAATATAGGTACAAACCAAAAGGTCAGGAAAATTCCGTTAAGACTTTATAGTAGCTCGGTCAGAACCGAGTGAAAGACAGATACTGACCTGAAGGCCAGTCGTGTTTTCTCTCATTATTCAAACAGTTTTGAAATACTATTTCTAGAATGGCCTAATGAAAGGACAGTGTTGAAGTTATCTAGTTGCTTCTCTTTGATTGGACTTGGGTTGTGATCCCCGTGTTCTGTGATGCCTCCAAATTGTATTCCCTACCTCCTCTCTCAACTCCACACGATGCATTCTCTACTAAGTTGTTAGAATGATGTACCTAAAACCAAACATGATTATACCGTGCCTTTATTTAGATACCTTCTAATGACAGCCCGTTGCCTACTGGATAAAAGCCTCAATTCCTTAGCAGGACACACAAAGCCTTCACACTCTGACTCTATCATCAGTCTCTTCTTCCATTCCTGCAAGGCAACAGACCACTGCCTTCCTTGAACAGACTAAGTGTAATTTCCTATTTTCACACCTAAGCACCAGCTGTTCTGCCTACTCATTGTATCCTAAGTCACCATATAACCGTCGGTCCCTCCAGCATCCAGGGTGAGTCTCTCTCCTGCTGCTCACCGCCTCCCCCTTTCCCTTTTCAAGCAGCAGAGGGTGAAACTCGGCATCCGGGGGGAGGCCCCTCAGACCGCCCCGCCCCGCTCCACAGTCCTCCCGCCCGGCGTCCCCTTCTGTTCGCCGACCGCGTTTCCCTCCGGGGTGGGGGGGGGGGTACCAGCAGTTCAGTTCGTCTAGGCGTAGAGGGGGAGAGCAGGCGAAGCGCTCTCTTCCAGTTCCATTTGCTCAACTCCTCCCCCAATAGTCGAGGCCGGGGTGAAGGCCGGGAAGTAGGGGTAGCCCGCGGCCTAGCGCCAACATGCCGAGGACCAGCGTGCGTCTTACCACAAACACGGCCTCAGGAATCCCTAGGTGGAGCCGCCGCCCGTTCCCTGTGGCCACTTCTCCTAAGCCACAACCGTCCTTCGCGGCCGCCATCTTGGGAAAGCGAGAGCGCGAGTAACTGCCTCCCGAGCCGCCAACCGCTGGTGGTCCCTGATTGGCTCGCTCACAGCTGCAGGCCCGCCCCCCCTCCTCCTTGTGAGTCTGCGGGTTCATTGGCGCGCAGGAAGTAGCCGCCCCTTCTCTCTCCGACGAGTCGCCCAACCTCTGGGTGCTGATTGGCTGTGCACAGGTGAGTGACAAGCCAGGAAGTGCCGCGGGGGGAGATGCTGGCTCTGCAGGAAAAACCAATGCAGGGTTCAAGAAGAGGGGTCTTGGGGATTTTGTGGGTGGGAGGGCTCGAGGACCCTGGGAATCAGAGACCGAACCTGACCCCAGTACCACCCCAAAACGGGCAACACCTTCCAGAATAGCCTTCGAAGCGACCCGATCCCCTCTCGGCTACAAGTGAATCTGGGACCTAGATGCCGCGACGGGGCCTTGGTCTCGGTGCCTTTCTGGTCCCACAATCCGAGCGAGCTTCCTGGCCCTCAAAGGGGACTTGTTTTGTGTCTGTTTCGGAATGGAGCCATTGGCCTGATTTTAATAAATATCCCGCCCACTGCACCAACCTTTCCTGAAAGCCATCCTTGATCGGAATGTTGCCACCCCAATTCAACCATTTTCAAAACTTCATATTCTACACACAAAATCCTAAGAACTCTTCCGAGGCTTCCAGCCCTAAGGACTTCCCCAACATCGTCCACCACTACGACCCTTTGAAAGCAAGTGCGTTATACAGACGTGAGTACTTATTCTTTGGTCTCTTTTCTAATAACTAACAACCCTGTTCCTCCCGCCTTTGCTTGCACTGGAGTGCTTTGCAGTGAAGCGGTGCTTCATCCACTCACACAAACCCTACAATGAGGCAGCCCGTTTATGAATAAAGGATGTTAGTTCCCTTACTTAGTGGGGACACATATGTAATAAGAATAGTGATTAACATTTATTAAAAGCTAACGGTGTGCCAGTCACTGAGTCATACTGTTTAATCCCCACAAGCCCAAGCTGAGAGGGACTATCATCACCCATAGTTAACAGACTATAAAGAACCTTAAAAATGAACCATTTGTGGGACTCCTGGGTAGCTCAGTCGGTTAAGCCTCAGACTTGATTTGGGCTCAGGTCATGACCTCAGGGTCGTGAGATCGAGCCCCACCTCAGGCTCCACGGTGGGCTCTGCTGGGCATGGATCCTGCTTAAGATTCTCTCCCACTCCCTCTTCCCCTCCCACCATCTCAAAAAAATGAACCATTTGTAAGATAATAGGATAAATGTTATAAGAGTCACATATTGGGTAGCAAGGGAGCACAGGTGAAGACACTACACTACCTCAGAATGGTCGAGTTTCATTCTTCTGCATGAAGAATAACAAAGAATAACAAGGTATACCAACAAGAATGTTGTAAAGATTAAATGACATTATACATGTAAAATATCTAATATGTACTGGCCACACAGTAGAGTAACCAAATGATTTTACTTTCATTATCTTGCATCACATTGCCCGACTTCAAGCTCTATTACAAAGCAGTGATCACCAAGACAGCATGGTACTGGCACAAAAACAGACATAGAGACCAATGGAACCCAAATAACTCAGCTCTAAGTCCAGTGTTCTTTATTTCGTGAAGACAAACCTGTGGAATAAAGTAGAATATCCAGAAACAGACAAGTACGCAGAGGTGGCATCTCAAACCACTGAAACAAAGACAGACTTTTTAACAAATAGTGTTGTGACAGCTGGGTAGCAATTTGGGAAAAGCTAAAATTAGATTAATATCACAAACCATATACAAGAATAAATTCCAAATGGATTACCAAAATAAATGTTAAAAACCCTAAATCATGTAAGTACCAGAAGAAAATATGGGGTAATTCCACCTTTAACTTTGGTGTAAGACATTCTATGACTCATCCAGGGACAAAGAGAGAAAAGGCCAATATATTTGCCCATTTATGAAAAACAACAACAACATAACTCCTGCAAAAATGATACCAGAGCAAATTCAGACTGTAAATTCAGCTTGAAAAAATTCAGCAAAATTATGTCGCATAGACAAAGTCATACTGAAAAATGGGCAAAAGACAATTAACCAAAAGATGTAAAAGTTTCCTTTAAGCATGAAACATGTTCAACCTCACAAACACTAATAAAATTCAAAATAAAACTACTGTGAGGGGAAAGCAGTAAGATGAATGAAGACCTACCTGAGAGCTGGGGGATGGGGATGGGACAGGGAAAGGACACGAGAGAGGGTAGAGCAGAGTAGGATAATGATGGAGCGAGGGGCAGGCAAAATGATTAAGGACCAGAGAAGGGAAGAAGAGCAACATAATTAAAAAAGAGGGCCATGGGGCGCCTGGGTGGCTCAGTCGGTTAAGCATCTGCCTTCGGCTCAGGTCATAATCCCAGGGTCCTGGGATCGAGCCCTGCATTGGGCTCCCTGCTTGGCGGGAAGTCTTCTTCTCCCTCTGCCCCTCCCCCTACTCACGCTCCCTCTCTCTCTCTCAACTAAATAAAATATTAAAAAAAAAAAAAAAGAGGGCCAGGCCAAAGGACATTGAGCAGGGCTGGAACTCTCAGACATGGCATTTATACAGGGACAAAGAAGAAAGGGAGACAGGGAAATTGGAGGAGAGGCACACCCTCCACTCTGAACACACTCAGGAACTGCTCAGGGAGGGGAACATGGCTAGAGGTATAGGAATTGCAGCAGGACTGGAGTAGTAAAAACAAATGGGCAGGGATGGAGAACTGAGGAGTGGGAGGCAGGTGGATTGGAGGGGGGCAGAACTGCAGACCTGGGGGGACCAGGATGGGGAGGGCATTGGAAGAATGAGGAAAGTGGCCAGAGCTAGAGGACTGGGGAGAGAGGAGGAGTTCCAGGACTGGGGAGATGGGAGAGGTTGCTGGAGTAGAGAGAGGGGAGGGAAAAGAGAACTGGGGAGAGGACTGGACTGGTGTAATGGTGCTGGGGGAGTAAGGAAAGTGGGTGGGGCTTAAGACTAGAAAGAGGGGTGTTTGTAGAGGACCTGATAGAAGAGAGGGTTTGACTGGAAGGGGCAGAACTACAGGACCTGGGACAGGAAGAAGCTGAAGGACTGGACATGGGGTGGGGCTACAGGACTGGGGAAAGGGGAGGTGGTGGAGGGCTGGGAAGATGATTGATGCTGGAGGAGAGAAGAGATTGAGCAGAGAAGTTGGACTAAGGAGGTGGAGGGGCCGAAGACCGGAATGGGGCGGTGGTGGAGGGCAGTGGGAGCTTCTATATAGTAGTAACAAAACCTTAGAATATGAAATTAAATAGTACCATTATATTAGAATTAAAAAACATAAAGTACTTGGTAGTTAGATAATGAAATATGCTAGTTACCATTAAAAACTCCAAATCAATGGAGAGAATTTAAAGAATGCCTAAATAAATAAATGGAGACTTATGCCATGTTCATGGTTTGGAAGCACCGATATTGCTAATGTTTCTATATGTCTATTTTCTCCAAATTTAACTATAGATTTGGTGTAGTCCCAATCAAAATTCTCAGGTGCCTTTAAAAAAAAAGAAATTGATCAGCTGATTGTAATATTTTCATGGGATTTTCACAGAGAACCTGAATACCTGACACAACCTTGGAAAATATGAATGAACATGGAAGACTGTTTTGTGACCTACAGAAAACAATCATAATCAAGACAGTGTGCTGTTGGTCTAAGGATAGAGATACGACTCAATGGAACAAAACAAAGTAAAAAATAGAGCCATAAATTTGTTGTCATTGAGTTTTGAGAAATCTACCAAGGCAACCCAAGGGGAAAAGAATTTGCTTTTCACAAATGTTGCAGGAACAACTGCATAACTATATGAAAAAGTAAATCTCTACCCTTACCTGGCACCAAACATAAAAATTTATTTTAGATGGATCATAGATCTAAACATAGAAACTACAACTATAGACCTTCTCAAAGAAAATGGGAGGATATCTTCATGACATTGGGAGAATCAAATATTTCTAATGACACAAAAGGCACTAATCATAAAAGAAAAACTTCATAAATTAGATTTCAAAATTAGGAAACACATTTACTCACCAAATGATACCATTAAGAATGTGAATAGGCAAGCCACAGACTGGGACAGATTATTTGTAGAATATATATCTAACATAGAATTAATATTCAGAATATATAAATAACTACAAATAAACAGTCAAAAAAAAAGAAAACATTAAAATGAATAAAGTAGTTGAATTTCACACACACAAAAAAAGATTGGAATGACCAATAAGTATGTAAAAAGTCGCTTAGTCATCAGAGAGATGTAAATTAAACCACAATATTATGTTACTACAAACCCAATAAAACAGGCAAGATTAAAATGCTGATAGCAGTAATTGTTGACCAGAATTTGGAGTGCCTGGAATTCTCATACATTGCCAATAGGATAAAGTGGAACAGGTGTTTTTGGAAAACTTTTGGCAGTTTTAATTTTAGACAAAGACCTACCCTATGACCCAGCCATTCTACTCCTAGGCATTTACTCAAAAGATATATCCACATTTGTCCACAAAAAGATTTGTACAAGCATGCTTATAGAACTTGTATGTATACATCAATTTAAAATCTGGTTTAAAAATAATGAGTAACAAGAAATATATTTTCAGATAAAAAAAAAAAAGAAATATATTTTCAGATAAACAAAACTGAGTTTATCACAAGCATAACTATACTAAATGAACTTCTAAAAGTTGTACTTCAGGAAGAGGGAAATTATTCCAGTGCAAGGGATAGCGAACAAAGAATTTGTAAACATGTGGCTAAATCTAAGCAAAAACTGTTTCCATAAATACTAATCCTTCTTTTTTAAGTAAGCTCTATGCCCAATGTGGGGCTCAAACTCACAACCCCGAGATCAAGAATTGCATGCTCTCCTGACTGAGCCAGCCAGTCTAATACTTTTAATTTGGGGGGCTAACAAAATGGGGCAGGGCTAAAATATGGGACCACAAAGTATGTAAGTTGGGAGGGAATGTCCTTGTAGCTTTAAAGTGTTCTAAGGT